ACATGTATTCATGGTTACTGTTTTAGCTTGTCATATTATGAGTTTAGATTATTTTATATTCATATGATCTGCTGTAGGAATCTGATTGCTACCTAACCGATATAGTTAGCCCTCTAAAAGCTACAGTCTCTTAGCCCTCTAAAACCGACAAAGTGTTACTACTGTCTTTGTATTAGCTGTGGTCTTGTGTGCTTGAACTGATATAACCTGTCATATGCATCACGTTTATTCATGTGACACTTTGTTCAGCACCCCACAGCAGGCATGGATGTAGGGGGAGGTTCCCATCACACCTAAAATGTGAATCGTGGTCTTTCATGCCAAATTGAGAATTCAAATCTTTATTCACATATTTAGGGGGAGGCTTCTACACCCATGGTTCAAAAATCTCAGTTTAGATTTCATATCTTTTGTAAGCTCTAATTGGGTTGTCATCAATCACTAAAAAGGGAGAGATTATAAGTGCAATCAAGTCCTATTGTGGATTTTGGCATAGATGACCACCAAATTAGAGGACTAATGAGTTTTATCGAGATGACAAGCAGGGAATCGAAAAATGAGGATGATGTACAGGTTGCAGGTGTCCTAATTACAAAAGGTGGCTAGACCTAGCTCAAAGGAGGTTTAAATTCTTTTATATTTTTAAATTGAGTTTAGGGAAAGTCGTACTATTAAGAGGGATTTTAGGACAGTTGGTCAACTGTTGAACCAAATGCTCAAATTCTCAGATTTACATCCTCTCACCTAGTCAAAACAGCTAGCCAAATTTCACCTCAACTTACCTATTTTGGCTAGGGCAGCAGTGCCGCCCTGTTAAGAGCGGCAGTGCCACCCTTAACTAACCGTTGAACCCAAGGGGTATTTATACCCTTTAGGCCCAGCCCACAACGGTCATCCACTTCACTCAGCCATTCTGCTCGAAACAGAACAGAACCAAAGCTCACCCTCTCTCCTCTATTGTTGCTCCTCCATCCCTCAAGTAAATTCTTGATTCCAACCATCAAAACTTGAGAGAAAAGGTAGCAAAACTCGATTGGAGAGAAGATCCACTGATTCCCAAAGTCTAAGAGCATTTGGTTCATGTTTGGCCGACGGTTCTAGGGTTTGTTACTCTTGGAGCTTGCTCCTAGCCGGCTAGGCGTCGCCCTTGGGCTTGCCAACTCGTGTGGCAGCCTTGGAAGGTTTGTAACCTCATTCTTGGAGCTAAGAAATTACCTCTCACTTCAAGAGTTCATCCTCTTGATTTGAGAACGAGGGTAAGGCAAGCCTTTGTGGCAAGCCCAAGCCTTTTGTGGCTTTCTCAACAATGTGGACTTAGACAAACCTTTGTGGTGAGCTAAACCACGGGATAAATCTTGTGTCTCGTGTGCTTCATCTTGTTTACTTGCTGGTTTAGCTCTTTGCTAGCTGGTGTTAGGGTTTGGTTGCTCAATCCACTCTTGTGTGGAGTTTCTGTGGTATTCAGTCTTCGAACTAGATCTTATCTTTCTATTGCAGGATTAAGCAGCTAATGGGGTCAGGTTCATCTTTGTAAAATCTCAGCTGTGTTAGATTTATTTTCAAAGAGCGGCAGTGCCGCCCTACAGGTCGACAGTGCCGCCCTCTGTTCTGACAGAGTTTTGAGTTGAATTTTTACAAGCCTATTCACCTCCCTCTATGCCTTCTTTATCTTTCTAGAGATCCTACAAAAATCCTTTTACTTTAAAATAATAATAATAATAATAATAATAATAATAATAATAATAATAATAATAATAATAATAATAATAATAATAATAATAATAATAACAACAACAACAACAACAACAACATGACTTTTGAAAATGAGCTTAAGGGCATATTTATGACATTTCTCCTTCGGGTATTTTTGTCACTAACCTTTCAGGTTTGAGAAAAAGAATGAAGGGGTGAAACGCAAGGTAAATTCAACTAAATATCATTTCAACAATGAAGCACATTCAAAGGAGAATGCTACCATCCAAATTTGATTTTTCACATTACAAAATTCAAGTGTGGAGGTGAACTTCTCGAAAAACATTTCATAACATGCTTCATTCATTCATTTCTTCTTAGTTGTCTCTGCATTGTTTTACCTTTATGCCCTGCTCACCATGATAAAGTCATCAAAAAAATATAGTATATAATGATAATAAAATAAATAAATCATTTTTTAGCTACTAGAATTTTTTTAAATAATAATAAAAGAAATATATATTGCTTTGCATAATAAACTTAGCTTAGTCTTGTCTTTTAAGAATAAAGCTATGACCTCCCTTATCTCCCACAGCAAACAAAAACTTGGTGCTAGAAAAGTTCCCTTTAGGTATTTGTTATCACAAACAATTACAGGAATGAAGGATGAACAATGTCTAGGAACATGGGTACTGCAATACACATTAAGGAGATGCTCCAACATTAACACTTAGCTTTTAATGTCGAAGGACATAAAATTCTAAGTGTGGGGGACCCGACCCTTCCATACTATCTCTCAGGCACGCTGGTTTGCACTCTATTTTCTCACCGATGATCCTATAAGTTTGATTATGTTCAAAAATTCCAAATATGCTAATCAAACTAAAAAAAATGAGAAATAAAAACTTGCCAAACTATGAACTTGACTTTATAAAGGTTGGCCGGCGTAAACTTTATTCCTAGTTCATATACTTGGTACTTGTGGATACATCTTTATTAGAAAACATATCAACTAAGTTGTTGTGAAGTGAGATATGACAAAGACTAAAGAAATCCTACCTTGTCTATGTAAGCTCTTGGAGAATTTCTGTTTTACTAAAACTTCAAAATTTATAGCAATCTTCCACTAATTACTATATCATCCCACTAACTTACTACCTCTAATTGCAAGCTATCCACATACATCATCTCCACTCAATTTCATTTCAAACTCTTCGTAATCCCCGCAGCAACGCGCACAGTATCTTCTAGTGAACACAATTTGACATGTCTTGTTAACATTGAACCAACTACTTATCGTGTGCCTACCACTAGAGTGTTATAGGCCGGCTCTGCTAACGCAGAGCGCCATTGTCATTTGTGACTCTGATACATGTGGTGAAAACACCCTTCGATCCGGCTGGCACTACCACTCACCCTCTCCCGTGTAGCTCGTCGGTGGGAGCTCTGACCTGGAGTTGATCTGGATCTAGGAAAATGAGAGAGGAAAGAGAAACGAGGGAGAGAAAATGAAGGGTGGATTATGGGCCTATTTGGTTTAGCTTTGAGCCGTGAAAAAATGTTATGACGTATGTGGCGTAGAAAAGTTGTAAGCAATTTGGTTGAAACAAGTATAAAACCTACCTCTCGCTTTATCTCCCTTCAAACAACCATAAAACAACTCTCTATTTTCACCCATTTCGAAAAGTAGGAAGCCAAAAACCAGATGCAAGATTGTACTGCACTAAAAAAGCAGCTTCAAAACTTTACCTGTTTGGTTGACTTTCTTTTGTTTGGCAGCAGAAACACTTTTAGAAGCTCAATCAAATACAACCTATATAACGTGCTCTTAACATTTACAATCATGGAAATGATTACCCTCTCCATCCCAAAAACACTTGATTTCTAGTTTTGTCCTAATCAATATTTATGACACCAAATAAGTAAATATGTTATATAACAAACACAATGATATTTTTTGGTAGTATAAATAAGTATTCTTTTGTATAAACTCGGACAAACTTCAGAAAATTTGACTTAGGACAGAACTAGAATATCAAGTTTTTTTTTTGACAGAAGTATGCGGTTGTTGAATGTTCTTTATTGTTGTTGGATAGACAACTCCAATGAACTAGTGGAGACCCAGAGATTTATGATTTCAGGAGACGTACTTACAATCATGGATGGTATTTTATAGCCAGGGGAAGCCTTGTATAGTTACAGTCGACGCCTCAAGGAGCCCGTTTCTTGACCGTGAACTTCCTTTTTACTAAAGAGCCAAGCTCCGCGAGTAATGAGTTCGTCCACGTCTGTGGAAAAGATTTAACACGTCATATCTTTGTTTTATGGTTCTAATTTACTCCGGTGAGGCTTTTAAAATCCCAACATCGATCCCATAATAAGGCCTGTTTAGATACAAGAGCTAATGACTAGCTAGCTAAAAATTAGCTTAGTATATTCTAAGATGATAGCTAATAGAAGAGCTAGTATTTTAGCCAAATCTTCAATTCGTTATTAGCTAACTAGTTAGCAAAAACATAGAAAATTTCGTCTAATTTTTAGCCTCAACTACTAATTAGTCATGTGCATCAAACAAGCCAACCTTAAAAACGCAAGTATGAGATCCGGTTTCATCCTTTTTATTTTTACAAAAAAGTTAAGCTCCGCGAGTAGTCAGTTCGTCCACGTTATTGGAAAAGAATTAACACGTCAGATCTTAGTTTTATGGTTCTAATTTACTCTAGCGCGGTTTTTAAAATCCCCGCATCGATCTTTTTGTAATAAGACCTGTTATAGCTAGCTAGCTATATTATAAGAGGAGAACTAGTAGATAAGCTAATTTTTTAGCCACTCTTCAACTTATTAGCCAATTAGTTAGCAAAAAACATATCTACTTCGGCTAATTCTTAGCGCTAGCTACTAATTAGCCATGTGCACTAAACAGACCCGTGGCCTCGGGTCCCATGATCTACTCTTTTCGTCCTAAAATAAATACACATCTTATTTTTAGAGGAGTCAATTAAATTTTTTAAGTTTGACTAAACATATAAAAGTATAGGAATATTTAATGTAGATATTGAATATATTTTTATAATAATAAACTTATTTGAAGGCACAGAAGTAGACATTATTCTCTATATTTTTAGTAATTTATTTTTTTCAACTTATTAGCGAGATGTGCATTTATTTGGCAGGGAGTGAGTATGTTTTGGCGAGACCAGCAGATCCGCCGTTGCCGGAACAGGCAAACCCACGTTCCGCGAATGCTTCTGTAGGCTGTTCTTCGTCCATCCGGACAGTTCGACGAGCTAGAGTCAGCGTCGCCGGCGATGGGGTGCTCCTTCTCAGGCCTGAACGCACTGTACGACACCGTCGGCGGTGGGGGTGGTGACGTCTGGGTTAACGACTACCGCTTCCGCGTGCTCCGCAGGCTCGGCGATGCCGGCCCTGCGTGCTCCTCCGTCTTACTCGTCAAGGAGGTCGTCGCCGCCGCAGCCTCCTCCGACGGCACGGCTGGGGCAGAGCCCGGCGCCGCCGGGATCGCCAGGAAGAAGGGCATCCACCCATCACACATCTCAGGTGTTTCTCTCACACACACATAAATAGAGGGATTGAGATCCGAGCGTAGTTCCTTGCAGCTATTGGCGAATGGGTTTGGATCTGGGGTCTATTCGGCGTGTCGCGGTGCGTACTGGATATCTGAATCTGGGCAGTGGAATGACATTTGTTCACGGTTGGATGGATTATTTGACAATTCATGGTGTAGATCATTTCACGCCTTCTTGCTCCATTTGAGGATTAAGATCAAAATCATTTCTTTCTCTTCAAATTGCATCCTTCGTGGACCTGTGCGTGCGGTGTTTCGAATTGTGATTCCTACGCGTGACCACTGGTGTCACCATCTAAATTCGGAGACCTGGCCTTGTCGTTTCCTTAGCTGCTTGATGTAAACAATGCTAGTTTCTGTAAATGCACTTTCGAATTTCGTTCTATACCATATCTTAGAGTCACAAGAAAATGTTAGTCTTGATTCTTAAGAGACTTCTGTAGTGTTATTCTCTGCAAAATTTGTTTGACCTATTTAGGGCCCGTTTGGAGGGGCTCCTACTGGCTCCGGCTCCTCTACCGCTACAGTACTGTAGTGGAGCCGGGAGGAACCTCAAAACTGCAGCTCCTCTGGCTCCTCTCTTGCCTGTGCCAGAGCCAGAGCCCTCTTTTTTGTCCGCTGCAGCAGTCTACAGTATCGCACAGTGCGCAACAGTGACTAGGAGCCAGAGCTGGAGCGCGCAAGAGCGCAAACAAATGGGGCCTTAGTTTTGCACTTTTTGATAAGATATATTTTATTTTCATTAGTTTCTATTGGTTGAATTCTACTGTCGTATGTTGGAAACTTTCCTTTACATATGTCATAACTGTAATATATGAATATTGACTATTGAGCAGACATCACTCTAAACCCACATTTGTGTCAACACTAAGTTCTGCAGTCTCTTAAGGCAATCACTCTGTTACATACAATTTGAGATAAAAAGTAACTGTAACATATAGTTTAGCCTGTTGAATGTAAATTGAATTGGGTGTTGTATTTCATGCCCACAAAGCTGCAGTTTATGGATGTGGGTGCTAGAGTTTGGGTATTGGTGGAAACATGACAGTGTCCACAGAAGTTCCCGTGTGATGTGATTTTATTAATACTATTAATATGGAACTGTGAATAGCCGAATACTTATTTAGTGATGACGCACACAGTTCATATTAGATGTTGATTCTTTTGTCATTATGGATCTTACTGTGTTCTTGATTCTGCTGTGTTTGGAGATCATATTTTAAATTCTACCCTTCTTGTTGTTTTGTCATATGACAGCTGATGGGACATATGCTCTCAAGAAAGTTCTTGTTCAGAGCGATCAGCACTTAGAGCTTGTTCGGCAAGAGATCCGAGTGTCCTCTCAATTCAGCCATCCAAATTTACTTCCTCTTCTTGAACATGCCATCGTTGCTGTCAAGGTAGGTTGCATAGTAGGGATCATGTACTTGATTCTTCATATTGCCAGTCTTTAACGAGACAACCCTTAATAACACAAGATCTATATGTTTGTTGTAAAATTAACTATTGGACTTTGCTCTATACTTAATAGTATGACAGTAGTGCTTATACTTTCTTCATTTCTTGCAAAAGCAGAAGCAAAACAAAACTAGTTTGTTTCTTGTTAACAAAATTGTTGTGTCTTTCATACATTATAGGGAAATTGGATAAGCGCTCCCATAAGTTACTAGAGACTAGAGTTACCCTATTGCCCCTCTTAAGTGAATACAATGCCTAAAGACTCCCATTGGTCCCTGCATTTTTCTGCTATTGGCTGTTGCTTGCAGGAAATCACTTATTTATGTCCAGTAGTACATGCCACCAAATACCATGTTAAAAGCTTGATTAATTGAGTTGAGCTATAGCGTAGTTGAATTTAGCCTGTTCATCAAAGGAAGAAGTCTATTGTTTGCTATCGAACTATTGCCTGAGTTGGCAATCGAACTCCAAAATTAGATATCTTTGGCCGTCGAACTATCAAAACTGGACAACTTTGGCCCTTGACTGGTTTCAAAGGTGTTTTTTCTTATATTTTTTTTTCTAACAACAACAACAACAACAACAACAAAGCCTTTAAGTCCCAAACAAGTTGGGGTAGGCTAGAGTTGAAACCCAACAGAAACAATCAAGGTTCAGGCACGTGAATAGCTGTCTTCCAAGCATTCCTATCTAAGGCTAAGTCTTTGGGTATATTCCATCCTTTCAAGTCTCCTTTTATTGCCTCTACCCAAGTCAACTTCGGTCTTCCTCTGCCTCTCTTCACGTTACTATCCTGACTTAGGATTACACTACGCACCGGTGCATCTGAAGGTCTCCGTTGTACATGTCCAAACCATCTCAACCGGTGTTGGACAAGCTTTTCTTCAATTGGCGCTACCCCTAATCTCTCACGTATATCATCGTTCCAAACTCGATCCCTTCTTGTATGCCATAAATCCAACGCAACATACGCATTTCCGACACTTACTTATTGTTGAATATGTCATCTTTTCAGAGGCCAACATTACGCACCATACAACGCCATTTGGTCTAATCGCCGCCCTATAAAACTTGCCTTTTTAGCTTTCGTGGTACCCTTTTGTCACATAGGACACCAGACGCTTGCCGCCACTTCATCCACCACCGCTTTGATTCTATGGCTAACATCTTCATCAATATCTCCGTCCCTCTCGTAGCATTGATCCTAAATATCGAAAAGGTATCCATCCTAGGCACTACTTGACCTTCCAAACTAACATCTTCCTCTCTCCCGGGTAGTAGTGCGAAGTCACATCTCATATACTCAGTTTTAGTTCTACTAAGTCTAAAACCTTTGGACTCCAAAGTCTCCCGCCATAACTCCAGTTTCTGGTTCACTCCTGTCCGGCTTTCATCAACTAGCACTACATCGTCCGCGAAAAGCATACATCAAGGGATGTCCCCTTGTATGTCCCTTGTGACCTTATCCATCACTAAAGCAAACAAATAAGGGCTCAAAGCTGACCCTTGATGTAGTCCTATCCTAATCGGGAAGTCATCCGTGTCTCCATCACTTGTTCGAACTCTAGTCACAACATTGTTGTACATGTCCTTAATGAGCCCGACGTACTTCGTTGGGACTTTATGTTTGTCCAAAGCCCACCACATAACATTCCTTGGTATTTTATCATAAGCCTTCTCCAAGTCAATAAAAACCATGTGTAGGTCCTTCTTCTTCTTCCTATACCGCTCCATAACTTGTCTTATTAAGAAAATGGCTTCCATGGTTGACCTTCCGGGCATGAAACCAAATTGGTTCATAGAGACCCGCGTTATTGCTCTCAAGCGATGCTCGATAACTCTCTCCCATAGCTTCATAGTATGGCTCATCAACTTAATTCCCCGGTAATTTGTACAACTTTGAATATCCCCTTTATTCTTGTAGATCGGTACCAATATACTTCTCCCCCACTCATCAGGCATCTTGTTTCATCGAAAAATATGGTTGAACAACTTGGTCAACCATACTACAGCTATGTCCCCGAGGCATCTCCACACCTCGATTGGGATACCATCCGGTCCCATTGCCTTACCTCCTTTCATCCTTTTCAACGCCTCTCTGACCTCAGATTCTTGGATTCTCCGCACAAAGCGCCTATTGGTGTCATCAAAAGAGTCATCCAACTGAAAGGTTGTGTCCATATTCTCACCATTGAACAATTTGTCAAAATACTCTTGCCATCGATGTCGGATCTCATCCTCCTTTACCAAGAGATGCTCCCTTTCATCCTTAATGCATTTAACTTGGTTGAAGTCCCGTGTCTCTCTCACGAACCCTAGCCATCCTATAAATATCCTTCTCTCCTTCATTCGTACTCAAATGTTGCAAAAGATCCTCGTACGCTCTACCCTTTGCCACACTTACAGCTCGCTTTGCAGTCTTCTTTGCCACCTTGTACTTCTCTATGTTGTCCACACTCCTGTCATGGTACAAGCGTCTATAGCATTCTTTCTTCTCCTTAATAGCCCTTTGGACTTCCTCGTTCCACCACCAAGTGTCTTTAGCCTCGCGTCCCCTTCCTTTGGTTACTCCACACACCTCTGAGGCTACCTTTCGAATGTTGGTTGCCATCTTGTCCCACATATTGTTTATGTCGTCTTCTTCCTTCCAAGAGCCCTCTTTGATAACCCTTTCCCTAAATACCTCGACGCGTCTCCTTTTGGGTTTCCACCACTTTGTTCTTTCAATCTTAGCTTGTTTATCCCTACGAACACGCACGCTTTGAAACGAAAAAATCGCCATCAAAAGCTTATGTTGAGAAACAACACACTCCCCCAGTATCACCTTGCAATCCAAGCATGCTCGTTTGTCCTTTCTTCTTGCGAGGACAAAGTCAATCAGCTTCTGATGTTGTCCGCTACTAAAGATCACTAGATGAGATTCTCTCTTTCTAAAGAAAGTGTTGGCTATCATCAGGTCAAAGCTACCGCATGAAGTCCGAACTTCCTCCCCCCCCGATTCCTACTACCATACCCAAAACCTCCATGAGCGCCTCAAAACTCAAGCTTGTAGTACCTACATGCCCATTAAGATCTCCTCCTATAAAAAGCTTCTCACTACTAGGTATAGCTCTAACTGTGCCATCTAAGTCTTCCCAGGCTGTCTCTTAGCACTCTCGCCGAGGCCTACTTGGGGGCATACGCACTAATTACGTTCAAGACCATATCACCAACGACAAGCTTGACTAAGATAATTCTATCTCCTTGCCTTCTCACTCCCACCCACACCATTCTTGAGGCTCTTATCAATCAAAACTCCTACTCCATTTCTATTCACATTGTCCTGTGTACCAAAGCTTGAAACTCAGATTGTCCACCTCCTTCGCCTTGACCCTTTCATTTAGTCTCTTGAGCGCATAATATATTTACACGTCTCCTAGTCGCGGTATCAACTAATTCTCTTAACTTACCTGTAAGTGACCCTACATTCCAACTACCTAAACGGATCCTAGTTGGTTCGACTAGCTTCCTTACCCTTCGCACCCGTCGACTCTGATGCGAAGACTCTTGCTCATTTTTCACTACATCCGGGCGCCGATGTAGCGCGCCACTAAGGAAGCGACGACCCGATCCTTGGTTACTTGACACCATGCCCAGACCACGACACGGCGCGTCATGGGGGTGACGACCCGGCCCTTGCCCATTTAACACCATACCCGGGTTCCGATATGGCGCGTCGCTAAGAGGGTTACGCCCCAAAAATATGGTAGGCAAAACCACCTTTGAAACAGTAAAAAAAACCACCTTTGAAACTAGTTGAGGGCCAAAGTTGTCCAGATTGATAGTTTGATGGCCAATGATATCCGGTTTTGGAGTTTGATGGCCAAAATCGGACCTGGATGATAGTTCGATTGCCAAATACAGACCTTTTCCTTTATCTAATGTAAAATTGCCGAACTGGTGTTTGATTTAGCGTCTTGTCCTGGTATAAAAGGCCAAATAAATAGTAGAAAAGGTGCTATTGGATGACATGGCACCAATCTGCATTTACTTTGTGGTGATGTGGAATCTAAGCTTGCTAGGAAAATCTTTTTGAACACTGGTAAAATTTTGCATTTACCTGAACCACTACATAAAAAAACATTGAATTAGTAACCCATTTTTAATACCTAATAATGAATTGGTCTGGCAGGAGAAAAGAATGTGCGGGCTTGGGTTTGGGGTGAGGGTGGGTGGGGTGGGGGGGGGCGCTACTAGCATCATTGAATTTACATAATTTTTAGTTGTAGGTAATGTTTTTAAGTTTGTTATGCAGGAGAAAAGAATGTGCGGGCTTGGGTTCGGGGGTGAGGTGGGGTGGGGGGGCGGCTACTAGCATCATTGAATTTACATAATTTTTAGTTGTAGGTAATGTTTTTAAGTTTGTTATATATATATGTGCTGTTATCTGCCTCACATCTCATAATATATTCTGTATTACTTAGGGTGTTCAGGATGGATCCCAGAACCATGAGGCCTACTTGTTATTCCCAGTTCATTTAGATGGAACATTACAGGATGTAACTAAAACCATGCTTGAAAAAAAGGAATTCTTCCCAACAATTACTGTTCTCCAGATATTTCGCCAGGTAAGTAATTCTGTTGTCGTCTGTGTTCTTAAGTTATTTGGTAGATATAGTAGATGTGACTTTCCTTCTTAGCAATCCACGTGCTAGAACTATGAGCTTGGTATCAACTATCAAGCTTCTTTTACCTCATAACCACATAACTATTTTTTATCCACATGCTACAACCATAGCGTGCCCATGTGTGAATTTACCTCATTGCAATTCCACTTTGGATACAGATAAGTGCATCAATGTCTACTGAACCCTTTCGAGCTTTGGGTGTTGGTTATGGTCATTCCATGTGTCTGGGACTGGGAGTGGGCATTTTGCCTCTCTCCCATGTATTTTATTCCTCTTCTTAATGAAATGACATGCAGTTCTTTTGTGTCGTTCAAGAAAAAAAAATGACTACTGTATCTATGGTTGTTATTTCCATATCAATTTTGTTTTATGTGGCCATGCACATGTTGTTTTAGTTGCTCCACACAAGTATTTTTTTAATAGCATGGCACATTATGTTTGTTTGCTCTTTTTGCAATAAACATTTTAATAGTGTGACTGCCTGGATGTTGTTGCAGCTTTGTTCTGGATTAAAGCACATGCACAGTTTTGATCCACCATATGCGCACAATGGGGTTAAACCAGACAATGTACTCATAACGCAGAGGAAGGAGCAGTCTCATCTTGCAATTTTGATGGATTTTGAGAGTGCTGGTCCAGCAAGAAAGACTATTAGATCACAAGCCGAAGCTTTACAGTTACAGGTACCTTTGTATCGAAATATGCAAAGAATATCATTAGTCATGTGAATTGATGACTGTTTATTGATTGCTGCCATGGCAATATAGTTGGTGAATTTACTAAACCATAACATCTATTATGTTTGAGCACTCATTACTCAACTTATCTTTGAACCTTATGTTATGGATGCTTGCAGGAATGGGCTTCAGAGCACTGTTCTGCTCATTACCGCCCCCCCGAACTATGGGAGTGTCCAAGTTATGCTGACATTGATGAGAGGACAGATATATGGTCTGTAGGATGCACTTTGTATTCTATGATGTAAGATTTTCATCTGCAAACACCTTATAAAGTGTTTTAGTCATTTAGTTCTAACATGAATAGGTGACCATGCTTAATCATTGTTCATTCGTATTTACAATGTAAAACTTTATTGTGCCTATTAGACAGATAGTCGTTGCTATGGGCGCATGGGCTGTTGGCCCATTATGGTTTATTATAGATTGATTAGTGATTACTCTTATAATAGGCAAGTATATCTGACGGTGGTCATACTTCTATAAATCAACCCTAGATCATCCTTGCCTATATATGTACATGTGCCTTGTGGCCTTAATCAATCTACTATTTTCCCGTGCAATTCCTCTGCTTTCATGGTATCAAGAGCCTAGGTTTTACGCTGCCCTAGCCCCTATACCGCGCGCTGCCTAGCTGCGCACCCTGCGCGTGGACCTCCCGCAGCGACCCCATGTTGGGGAGACAGGGACCCCAGTCCCGCTCGCGCCGTCCGCTACCGCCGTCGCTACTTCCGCAGCTGGTGCGGCCGATGACGAGGCGACATGCAATCGTGCTCTTGAGGCTGATTGCATCCGCTCTGCCCAGGCCGCCGACTTGGAGCACTAGTGAGCTAATGCCGCCGCTGCCAACCCAGTGCCCGCGCGTGAAGCCGCCCATCAGCGCGCATAGGCCGCCGAGCTGGAGGCCAGCCGCGGCCCAGGGGCATGACTCGGTGCTGTGTGCGCCCGCGATGCTCAACATGACACATCACTCGACACCTACCCCCACCGCCCTCCTCGCGTCTGGCACCAGCGACAGTGCTGGTCTTGCACATCAGCCCTCCAACAAGTCGGGCACGCCACATCAGCCCGCCATGGTACTCCCGGACCCACGTCCTCTAGCAACGGCAACTCCAGGAACTCTGACAAAGGCGGTAGGCACAGCTTGCGTAGTGGCAAGGGCAAGTGCAGCAGTCTGGCAGGTCTGCCACTAGGCAAGCCACCGCCCCCTCTTCTGGACAGCAACACCAGTACTAGGCGCCAGCTCCCTCGGTAGTAACTGGCCCATCTTCTACAAGCCATGGTCTGGTTCCATCCACATGTGGCCTGGGAACCGTCGTCCCCTAGCCCCCATGCCGGCTCCATGTCCACCCTAGCCGGCCTTTGTGCCTCAGCCACATGCCTTTGTGGCGGTTCCTAGGGGCAGTGGACCGCCCCTCCTCCAGGCTACTACCATCCCATGGTTGGCATGCTATCATGGGACCCATAGGCGCTGGCATCTTCATTCAACACCATGTCACTAACTCCAGCAACATGATTGGATCTTCGACTTTGGTGCCACCGTGCACATGATCTCCGATGTTGGTACTCTCCCTCACCTCCTCCCCGCGGAATCCTATTCGTCCCTCCTTTGTTGATGGTAATGATTCCTTACCCCCGTCACCTCCACTGGCACAACCCAACTTCTTAGTTCCTTATGTCTTAATAATGTACTCATTTCACCTGGTCTTATTAAGAACCATATCTTTGTTTGCCAGTTCACCTACTGACAACAATTGCTCTGTTGAATTTGACCCTGCTAGTTGTTCTTTGAAGGATATGTAGTCTCGGAAAGTGATCACTAGGTGAAATAGCTCTGGTCCATTGTACCCGCTTCTCATGTATGCTGCGCCAAACATTTTCCACTGCCCTCCTCGCCGACATCCCCACTCCACCTTGTGGCATCGCCGCCTCGGTCACCCTGGGCTTGAAACCTTTTCCAAACCCATGGCTTGTAATAAAGAAATTAGAACCTCCATATGTCATGCATGTCAACTTGGGTGTCATGTTTGCCTTCCTTTCCCTATGTCAGCGTCTCGTGTTTCACATGTATTTGATCTCATACATTGTGATTTGTGGACCTCGCCGGTTCCTAGTGTATCTGGTTTTAAATACTACTTGGTCATTCTTGGTAACTGCTCTCACTACATGTGGACATTTCCTTTGCGCCTCTAGTATGACACATTTGCAACTCTGTCTAATTTCTTTGCTAATGTTTCCACATAGTTTGGCGCCACCGTCAAGGCCGTCTAGGGCAACAATGGCCGTGAGTTTGACAATTCTAGCACCTGCACCTTCTTCCTCACCCATGACAACTCACCTCCGTATGTCGTGCCCTTACACATCGGCTCAGAATTGGAAGAATGGGAAGCTGAATGCGGCATTCGTTCATGTCTTCCACCTTGCTACTGGGTCGAGGCGCATAATACCGCCACTCTCCTCAACATTCTACCGACCAAGATGTGCGCTCCCATACGCCACATCACGCCTTGTTTGGCTCCCCACCCATGTATGATCATTTGCGCGTCTTTGGTTGTCGATGTTACCCCAACCTTTCCACCACAACTGTCCACAAACTTGCTCCCCGCTCTACCCTATGCGTCTTCCTTGGATATTCGGCTCATCATAAAGGATATCACTGCCTTGACACCTCCTCCAATAAGATCATCTCTCGTCATGTGATCTTTGACAAGTCCACTTTTTCGTTTGCCGAGCCGCCTTCCACACCCCCCTCCGTGGATTTCGATTTTCTGGACACTTTTGCTAACCTTGTCCCAGTGCCCATAGGCCTGTCTTGGTCTCTGTTACCTGCAGATTTATCACCGGCAGGCCTCCGTGCCCGGGTGTACTGACGACGCCCCAGCACCTCTGCCGTCCGCACTACCTCGTCCATCCGTCACCCTGGTGTCTATGCCCACATTGCCATCGGCGTCAGTTCCCTCTGGCGCTTCACCGCCCGCCCCTGCTGCTCCGTCGTCTCCTGCACAGCCATGTGCGGCCCCTTAGCTCCTGCTTGTGCCGGTGTGCACCTTTACACAGGTGTACACTCACCGTCGCCCCCCAGGCTTTGGTGCTGTTGCCCACCGCCCCTATGCCCGTACCAAAGGGCGCCGTGGACATTGCCCCCGTGGTTAACCAACACTCCATGACCACCATGGCGAAACATGGCTTTGGGGTGCCGGCTGTGTACCATGCTGTGTCTCTGTCTCCGGTACCCAAGACATCGCGCAGCGTTCACCGATCCAAAGTGGCGCGTCGCGATGATGGATGAAAATGCTGCTCTCCTGCTAAACAACACTTGGAACCTTGTGCCGCGCCCATCACGCGTGAATGTGGTCTCCGGGAAGTGGATCTTCAAGCACAAGTTCAAAGTTGACGGTTCCCTCGAGCACTACAAAGCTCGCTGGGTCTTCTGCAGTTTCACTTAGCACCTAGGTGTGGCTTTCGCCGAAACTTCTAGCGCCATCGTCAACCTGGCCAACATCGCACTATCACTGCCTTGCAGCAGGAGTTCTCAATGAAGGACCTGGGTGAACTCCATCACTTCCTCGGGATGCAAGGTTCAGCGATGCCATGGCGGCCTCTTTCTCTCGCAACGCTAGTACATGCAGGAGAACCTTGACCGCGTTGGCATGGCCATGTGTAAGCCATGCTCTACACCCGTGGACTCTTGTCCCAAGGTTTCAGCATTGGATGGTGCTCTGGTCAGTGATGCTACAGACTTCCGGAGTTTGACAGGTAGTCAATGCTGCTATAGGTGCACGGGCTGTTGGCCCATTACGGTTTATTATAGATTGATTACTCTTATAATAGGCAGATATCTGGCGGTGGTCATACTTCTATAAACCAACCCTAGATCATCCTTGCCTATATACATACATGTGCCTCATGGCCTCATAATCAATCTACTATTTTCCTGTGCAATTCCTATGCTTTAAGTGCCACAAAAGTGATACTTTTTAAAGGATCATCAGAAATTCAATTTTGGTTAACAAAATGCTGTTACAGCTGTCATTTATTAGATTAGAAAGTATCATCAATAGATGCCACAATGTGTCAGTCAAAACATATGACTAACATTGCGAGTGTGTTACTGGATTACGCTGTGATTGACTGACATCTCAAGTTCTTATGTAACATACTTTAGTGTATTTCACAAGCAACATAGTCTGTTTCAATTATATAATTCTGAACCTTTGAACCCACGGCCGTCCCTGCATAAATGGGGACCTAAAATGGGCCCTAGCAACTTAATAAAATATAATAGTAAAATAATGTATTACATTGCAATAATCATGAATTATATGGTTTTAACTCTTGATTGCATGACCTATCCATAGCTCCTTTCTAATATATGTTCTGATTTTTACGTTTTTGGTAATTCAATTTGTATTTTCCTAGACTGATTTGCAGAAGAAATGGCTTTGATCTTAAAACATTTGATGCATCGTCAAGTTATTACACGCGAATACATAAGATAAAAAAACAAAATTAAGGGATACACATTAGATATATATCAGACAACAAGCAAGCTAGTACTAGTTCACTACTTCATACGAAAGACCAGAACAAATGAAGAAAATAAAAAAAAAAGTTAAACTTGTTAGTTTCCCAAAGGCAGATGCAACCAGCAGTTCAGCGCAGCAATGCCCTTTGCTCAACAGGTCAAGTAAACTGGACCAGCAGTGCAGCACCAAGCCTTGAGCAGCCTGCAGCAAGCATCACGTCCTACTACTCCTGATATCCATTGCCCATGGTCTCCAACAGACTGCGACATAGCTTCACACTGACACGTGATAGGATCCTTGATCCTACCCCGGCTGCGTAGTGCGTAGGGATGTGGAAGGTGGGAGGTCTGGGCTTGATCTCTTGGCGTCGGCGTGGAGCCGTGGTGGCGAGAGGGAGGCGGCATGCTAGGGCGACACGAGAGAGAGAGAGATTGGCAAAGGCCCTTGAGGCCAGGCAACAAATATTGCCTTGCTTAACTTTCACAATTCCAATTTAGAGGTATTTATCCTCTCCTAAACAAATCAATCAAGATCCTATTTTTATGGGCCTTGCGCCCCCCTAATTGCCCGACGTGGCCTTCGCACTGTTGTGGGCCCGACGCCTATAAGTGACGCCCGTCATAACAACACGCATAGCCCAATCAATAACCTACTCTGAAACGCCAAACACTGATCAAGATTGTGGGAAGGAAAGTCTAAGACGAAAGTCGAACAGATGCTGT